CACATTACAGCTCTTCTTTCAGTGGAGCACTCCCACTGTCCTTTCACTAATTGAATCACCTAATCAGGCTTCTTGTGTATGAGCATGTTCTTTCTCCGTGCTGCCCACCCTTCTACTCACTGACACACTTTAGCTTCCCTTACTTGCTTTTTTTGCCTCACATTTTTTAACCAAGTCTTTGCAATCCCAGGCACAGCTACAGGTTGGGCAGAGAAGAGAATCAGAGCAGCCCTGTGGAGAAGGACTTGGGGGTCTTGGTTGATGAGAAAATGAACGTGAGCCGGCTGCAGTGTGCGCTCACAGCCCAGAAAGCAACCGTATCCTGGGCTGCATCCAAAGGAACGTGACCAGCAGGTCGAAGGAGGTGATCCTGCCCCTCTGCTCTGCTCTTGTGAGACCTCACCTGGAGCATTGTGTGCAGTTCTGGGGTCCTCAACATAAAAAGGACATGGAACTGTTGGAACAAGTCCAGAGGAGGCCACGAGGATGATCAGGGGCTGGAGCACCTCCTGTATGAAGACAGGCTGAGGAAGTTGGGGCTGTTCAGCCTGGAGAAGAGAAGGCTGCGTGGAGACCTCAGAGCAGCTTCCAGTATCTGAAGGGGGCTTTAGGGATGCTGGGGAGGGACTCTTCATTAGGGACTGTAGTGACAGGACAAGGGGTAACGGGTTCAAACTGAAACAGGGGAAGTTTAGACTGGATCTAAGGAAGAAATTCTTTCCTGTGAGGGTGGTGAGGCACTGGAATGGGTTGCCCAGGGAGGTTGTGAATGCTCCATCCTTGGCAGTGTTCCAGGCCAGGCTGGACGAGGCCTTCGGTGCCATGGTTTAGTGTGAGGTGTCCCTGCCCATGGCAGGGGGGGTGGAACTGGATGATCTTAAGGTCCTTTCCAACCCTAACTATTCTGTGATTCTATATAGAGATCATCTCGGTCTCTCCCACTAAGCCACATAAACTTTTCACTCACAAGCCCGGAAAAGGCAGAGAGGAGCCAGCTCCATGAGGTTCTTGAGATACCTCAAGGGAAGGGATTCTCTCCTTGTGCTGTGCTCCAGGTAACCTCCCCCTGCAGCCCTGATCCAGCTCTGGGGCAACAGCACAAGAGGGACGTGGAGCTGTTGGAGCGAGGCCAGAGGAGGCCATGGAGATGCTGCGAGGGCTGGAGCAGCTCTGCTCTGGAGCCAGGCTGAGAGAGCTGGGCTGGGGCAGCCTGGACAAGAGAAGGCTCCTGAAGGGGAGACCTGAGAGCAGCTCCAGTGCCTGAAGGGGCTGCAGGAAAGCTGGAGAGGGGCTTGGGACAAGGGATGTAGGGACAGGCCAAGGGGAATGGCTTGAACCTGCCAGAGGGGAGACTGAGATGAGCTCTTAGGCAGAAGCTCTTCCCTGGGAGGGTGTTGAGGCGCTGGCACAGGGTGCCCAGAGAAGCTGTGGCTGCCCCATCCCTGGCAGTGTTCAAGGCCAGGTTGGACACAGGGGCTTGGAGCAAGCTGCTCTAGTGGAAGGGGTCCCTGCCTGTGGCAGGGGTTGGAACTAGATGAGGTTTAAGGTCCCTTCCAACCCAAACCAGGCTGGGATTCTATGAATTAGCACATTCAACTGCTGTATTGCTAATCTCCGTTCTATTTCACCTTTAATCACATTTCACCTTTAACCACATTTCACCTTTGAAAGGCCTTGTGCCAAACAGGGCTTTGGGGGATGCAGAACCCAGCAGGGCTGGTCAGGTCTGGATCTCTCTGAACATCTTCCACAGGGATGGCCTTTTATTAGCATTCCTCTCTGGTTCTCATGCCGAGTGACATTTCCCTGGGAAGGATTTTCACATATTGCATCTCAGACTGAGTAAGTCTCTGGATATTGTTAGCAAATTAATAAAGACTGTGAACAGCTTCCTGTGTGATGTGTAAGTGATAAACACTCCGAAAACCCTTCCTCCTCCCCTCGCTGCCTGTGAATTGCTCTTCTAAAAATAAAGGGAATGACAGAATTCCTGTATTGTGTGACAAGAGGGGCCCTTCAGTCACTCGCAGCTGAGAAAGGCTAATGTCACAGATGACATTTGGGATTGTTATTAGTGCTACGGGCTCAATCCTGCTCCCTGTACTGCTGTAATGAGGGAGAAATGGCAGTGAAATCAAGCAGGCTATCGCTTGTGTTTCCCAGGGAAAGCAAACATGGAATCTCTGCTTCTTGCAGCGATATTTCCTTTCTCATGCCTCTTCCTCACCCCATCACCCAGGCACACCCCCCCCCCCCTTGTGCTGCTTCCTTAAGCCTCCCTCCTAAATTATGAGGTGGTGATTTTGGGGCTGTGCATAAACCGTCGGTCTAATTCCAACACATTTAATTGCATCTGTAACAGGAGATGGCTTTGGATCTGAAGCCGCATGTTCTTGTCAGAGCTTTAATTATTTGAAGGAATGTTTTGCCCTGACGTACTTCAGCGTTCCCATTTATCCACTGTGGAATTAACACCCCGTTCAGTGTGGAACTAATGCAGACAAAAATGAACATGCACGCTGCCTTTTGGGAGATGTTACGTTGGATACATGGCTGATAACTGCTACGAGGGGAAATAAGTAACTCCAGAGCCAGAAAACGTTATGGAGGAGCCTTTATTTTTCAGTCTGCTTCAGCTTCTCCCTTTTTTATTGTCTCCTATGGACAGTCTGGAGCTATATCCACACGGACAGCTGGATGTATTGCTTATGCCAACCACACAGAAGCTTAATTGCTTTTGAGAAGGGGCTCAATAACTTTATGAATGATTAAATGGCATTCTGTCTGTGCAACATGGGTTGTGAAGCTGCAGTACCTGACCCTGGGGACTCCTCTCACTCTTGAGCCATAGGGAAGGACTGTCAGTTTTCCGCCAGATCAATGAGCTGCATCTTCTGCTGCTCCGGCTTCAACTGTCACCAGCTCTTAGTGCTGTAGAGAAGGTAAGTATGTCAAATACAGCTGGATGGTTGTGGTTTTAAGGGGAATTCCTTCCTCGCCCTTGCTGACAGCCAGCTGAAACATAAAGTGTTAGCACTGAATGCCTTGGGGGGCATTATGGCTGTGTTAGGGGAAAAGCAGAGCTCCTCCTTCCTCCATGGCACCCAAAGGGAAGCAGTGCAGGGAGTCCAGACCCAGGCATAAAGGGGTCCGTCAGGGGCTCATCTCAGCTGCTCTGCCTGCCCAGGCAGCAGAGCAGATCCCCAAAACTGAGGCCTGTCCTTTGCCAGTCCACCTGGGAAAACAGTCCCTGACAGCGGCATTGACAGAACACCTCCATGGTGGGGAGGTCTGAGCAAGGGGAATGGGCTTCCCACTGGGAATTGCATCGTATTCCTTGGTAATGCCAACACTATAAAATCCCAGACTAGTTCGGGTTGGAAGAGACCTTAAAGCTCCTCCAGCTCCAACCCCTGCCACGGGCAGGGACCCCTTCCACTAGAGCAGCTTGCTCCAAGCCCCTGTGTCCAACCTGGCCTTGAACACTGCCAGGGATGGGGCAGCCGCAGCTTCTCTGGGCACCCTGTGCCAGCGCCTCAGCACCCTCATGGGGAAGAGCTTCTGCCTTTTACCCAAGGCCAAGATCCTGCAGAAGGATCATTTCTCTTCATCAGGACTGCAGTGATAGGACAAGGGGTAATGGGTTACAGCTTAAATGGGAGATTCATGTTAGATCTAAGGAAGTTCTTCCCTCTGAGGGTGCTGAGGTGCTGGCACAGGTTGGATCTGGATGATGTTCAGGTCCTTTCCAACCCAACCCATTCTAGGATCCTATGATCACCTCACTATCACCAGGCATCACCCCTCCATGAGCGCACTGGCACAGAGGAGCAGGGAAAACCACTCTTTATCACAGCAAAAGGACGCAGCCACCGCACTCCTTTGAAGACCCCCTTATTCACATCCATCCCCGCTCACTGCGCAGCTGCTTCCATACCACTCTGATCCAGCGGATAGCTCTGAGGCCGGCTTCTGTGTGGAGACCCCATCCCCGACACCATCCCCGACTCCAACCCCATTCCCATCCCTGACTCAGACCCCATCCCCATCCCCATCCCCATCCCCATTCCCCCTCCCATCCCCATTCCTATCTCCATCCCCATCCCCACTCCCATTCCCATTCTCATTCCCCCTCCCATTCCCATTCTCATTCCCCTCCCATTCCCATTCTCATTCCCCCTCCCATTCCCATTCTCATTCCCACTCCCATTCCCATCCCCATTCCCACTCCCATCCCCATTCCCATTCCCACTCCCATCCCCATTCCCGTTCCCATCCCCATCCCTACTCCCATCCCCATTCCCATTCCCGTTCCCATCCCCATTCCCATCCCCATTCCCACTCCCATCCCCATTCCCATTCCCATCCCCATCCCCATTCCCACTCCCATTCCCATCCCCATTCCCACTCCCATCCCCATTCCCATTCCCACTCCCATCCCCATTCCCGTTCCCATCCCCATCCCTACTCCCATCCCCATTCCCATTCCCGTTCCCATCCCCATTCCCATCCCCATTCCCACTCCCATCCCCATTCCCATTCCCATCCCCATCCCCATTCCCACTCCCACTCACATTCCCACTCCCATTCCCATCCCCATTCCCCCTCCCATCCCCATTCCCATTCCCATCCCCATCCCCACTCCCACTCCCATCCCCATTCCCATTCCACCTCCCATCCCCATTCCCATTCCCATCCCCATTCCCATTCCCCCTCCCATCCCCATTCCCATCCCCATCCCCATCCCCATCCCCATCCCCATCCCCATCCCCATCCCCATCCCCATCCCCATCCCCATCTCCATCTCCATCCCCATCCCCATCCCCATTCCCCCTCCCCTCAAGCCCCGCTAACATCCGGGCACTCTCCCCTCCTTTGCGCGCCAAAACGCAGCCTCGCTCTCCCTCAGCCCCGCCCCGTCCACCAACGGCCGCTCGGGGCGCCACTGCGCATGCGCGGGAGGCGGAAGGGGAAGCGGTACCCGGCAGCGAGTCCCTAACGACGGGGAGCGTTGCTAGGGCGGCGGCGCATGCGCGCAGGGGCGGGGCGGGGCGGGCTCGCCGTGAGGAGAGCCGGGGCGGGCGGGTAGCGGCCATGGAGCCCCGGGAGGAGCGGGTTCTTGTGAGTACGGAGTGTGAGGAGGGCATGGGGCCGGCGGGGTTCGGGGGCTGACGTGTCAGGGAGCTGCTGGCAGCGCTGAGGAGCCCCTCACGCCGTCTCCGGCCTGCAGGAGTGCGGTGGTTCACTCGTGTTTATGCGTTCAGCCGGAGTGTGGTGGGAACCGGCCGGGTTCTGCCGCGGGAAGGGGCTGTTGATGCGGGTGGTTGTGCCTCGCAAAAGGGGCATGGAACCCACCAGAGCCCTCTTCTTATCTGCTGCAGAAGAGGAGGGAAGTGACCGCCTTGGTTCCTCGCCATTCCCTGGGTTATCCCCTGGGAGAAGGGTGGATGTAACCGGTCTGCTTCCTCATCCCCTCATGGAAGGAGGGGTGTGTATCTATTCTGTTTCCTTTGTGCCTTATTTTGCCCTGGAGAGGGTTAGAGACCAAGCCAGGAGTGCAGCAGGCTTGGCCTGTAATCCTTCTGGGAACTCGGAGTGCCTCGTTGGAGCCATTTATCTCCTAAGGCTCCTACCTGTTTCTGTGCACTGTGCTGTGTTCACTCAGTGCTGGAGATGGGGAAGAGGGCGGCCATGGGGAACCTGTGTCCCCCAGTGCATCCTGACACATTCTCCTGTTAGTGTCTTCCTGACTTTGTCCCTTCTGAGAGCAGTGGGAAGCTTCTCCCTGTGGTCTTGCACTGTGCTGGCATCTGAAGTGTGTTGCTTTTCTCATGGTGGTTTCCAGAGGTGCCCAGGGCTTGTAACAGCTGCACAAGTTCTCACTCCTGCGAACTGAGTGCAAGCTCAGGCTGAGAGAGCTGGGCTGGGGCAGCCTGGACAAGAGAAGGCTCCTGAAGGGGAGACCTGAGAGCAGCTCCAGTGCCTGAAGGGGCTGCAGGAAAGCTGGAGAGGGGCTTGGGACAAGGGATGTAGGGACAGGCCAAGGGGAATGGCTTGAACCTGCCAGAGGGGAGACTGAGATGAGCTCTTAGGCAGAAGTTCTTCCCTGGGAGGGTGCTGAGGCGCTGGCACAGGGTGCCCAGAGAAGCTGTGGCTGCCCCATCCCTGGCAGTGTTCAAGGCCAGGTTGGACACAGGGGCTTGGAGCAAGCTGCTCTAGTGGAAGGTGTCCCTGCCCGTGGCAGGGATTGGAGCTGGGTGAGCTTTAAGGTCCCTTCCATCACAAACCAGTCTGGGATTCTATGAAACTGTTGGCAAGCATGTTTGTGCGTGGTATTTGAAGAGCTGGTGTTGGACACTTGGGTCTGGAGATGTTTATGGGTGTCAGTTCCACAGTTCTGTATTAGGAAACATGTAAGAAGGGAACCCAAAATGGGAAGTTATGAAGCGATCGCTCCAAGCCTTCATCCCAGAGCTCTGAAGGAACTTGGGTGCACAACAGCCAAATGGTAACCAGTGGTAGATGCCTTATCAGCCTTTACTTATGTTCCCTGGGAAGAACCATGGATGGGTACAGGCTTCAGTCTTAACAGGAAAAATAATAGAAACTAAACCAAAGAATGGAAACAGCCACGTGAGTCAACACGATGTGTTAAAGGCAAGTCTGGCCATAATGAATATGTGAATATGGGAACTCAGAGTAGTCTTAGTTCAGTTTCCGAAAGTCTTCTGCTGAAGGACCTTCACCATGTGTTTTCAAGCAGGCTGATTTGCCATGGAATAGAAGGGGTGGCTCTTTCACTAATGTGTATATTTTGTGTCTAGTCTAAGTGGAAAAGAAGTTGATTGGAGTGCTGATGTACAGGCCAATTTCACACTTTATGATTCAAAATAGTATATGATGTTATAGACTGGTGACTTTGCCTCTTGTTTCTTACTTTAAAGCTCATCCAGTGCACGGGAACCTTCCACTAGACCAATTGCTCCAAGCCCCATCCAGCCTGGCCATGGATGCTGCCAAGGATGGGGTATCTATCTCAGGCCCGTTGTTTTGATCCGTTTTAGGTGTCAGCTTGGCTGTTTCACAGTGGCTGTTGGTTGCTTCCTTGTCTGTGTTTTGCACTGTGGTTAATTGCTGCTCTGACAACCAGAGCTCAGCTCTGGGAATATCCGATGGAGCTGAGCCAAGCTTGCTGCTGCTGTTCTTCTGGGTCAAGGGGATGCAGGTGCAGACAGATAGTAGGCCAAACAGTCTTATTCCTGTTGTAGTATGGCTCCTCTTACACCTTTAGTGTCTGTTTCTATTGCAAGAGACTATTTTAGCTCTAATTTCAATTGAGAAAGAGAGAATAACACTGAAACACGATGTTTGTATCTTGTGCCATGCAACACTGTGGTTTCACGAGTGCCACATAAGTCAGCAAGCCCCATCTCACCTATGGGAAGATGTGACCTGTGATGCTGTGCCTGGGTAGCATGTTATTGCCTCTGTGTAATTTTGGCACATATTGCAACAGCTGTGTAATTATGCTTAAAATTGCCTTAAGAAACATCTACTTAACTCTTACTTCAACTTTGTGCTTACTGAAAAGAGACTGGGATATCTTCCTGCCAAAGTGCCATTGATGATAACTTAAAGGCATTATAGAACTTGCGGGCATCAGACTGCAAGAGTGAGAAGAAATTCTGTAACTAGCACAGTGATACTTTGCACTGTGCGTGCTCTTTCTTTTATCAGTGAAAATACTTCATCTGTTCCCTCTTTCAGGTTATTTTTGATTATGAGGATGATTTGATCCTACATTTAGCTAAGCATTAAGTATTATAAATAAGATCCAGGAGGATCAAGGTTTTGGTTCTCATTCTTTAATGCTGCAGGTTGCCATCTGTATCCCAGGAAGTCAATCATTCATAGAACTTTTTCTATCTCCTTTCTCTTTCTTTAAAGCTAAGCAGAAACATCAAAGTATGAACTGACAGAGGCACCTTAATTTTAGTGCTAGTTTAGCATGGAAAAGAGAAAGGAATGAGCATTTTCTTAAAGCTCAGAGGACAGCACAACGCAATTACAGCTCTTGGAACTATGATCACAACAAACTAACAAAAAATGATTCAAAATCTGCTTTTTCAGTGGCCCAAATGTGAGAATGTAAAGGAGTAGCTGACCTTCTCATTACATAAAAGCACTCAGGAACACTGTTAAATGCTCCTGTTGGAGTTAGGATTTGAACAGCGAGCAATTAAGGGTATTTTTTTGCCCAGGAATGGAAAAAAAAAATGGTCAAGCCACCTTATGTGAAGCTGAATTTTGTCTTTATTTGCAACAAGGAGAGAAGAGGTTGTTGCCTGAGAGAAAGTGAAGTTTTCATTATTAGCTGTTAGGTTGCTGAGGTGGCTGTAGCAGTGGTTACGTGTTGGGAATTTAGTATGTTCTTGTAACTGGAAATTAGGCTTTCATCTACACTGCCTTTCCCAGGAGAGACTGGGCTAGATGATCTTTGAGATCCCCTCTGACTGAGCTGCTCTATGAAACCCAAACTAATTAGTTCTGAATTAACAGAAAGAGTTGCCAAGAAATAGGATAAACCTGTAGTTTCTTTTTGATCTTCTTCCTTGCTCTGCGAGCCTGGTAGAAGAGCTTGTGGGTGAGGAGTGCCTGGTGTGGAGGAGGTTTATGGAAGTGGCTGCTTAGGTAAGATGGACATGTATAATCCATGTGGCTGGATGGGGTGTATCTGATGAAGTGGTTGAGCTGGCTGGTGACCCCTTTCTATCATCTTTGGAAGGCTGTAATAACTAGGAGGTGTTTGTAATAACTGCAGGAAGGTTCATGTTGTGCCTTTTTTCAAGAAGGGCAGGAAAGAGGACCTGAAGAACTACTGCTCAATTCAACCAGTCAGATGTTCAAAATCCAACTGGTGATGTTCCTCTGGGGGTCAGTCCTTGGGCTAATGCTGTGTCACATCACCACTGGTGACCTGGGTGGATGGGGGATGCACTCCTGTTCAGTCTGTGGATGACAGCACATTGGAGGGAGTGGATGATACACTGGAGGATGGTGCTCCCACACAGAGGGACCTTGGCAAGCTGGATTAATGGCCCAGGAGGAACCTCATGAGCTTCAGCAATGAAAAATACAGAGGCTTTTTGACAGAGAAGGAGCATCCCCAGACATCAGCACTGACTGGTGGCCCTTTGGAGAAGAGCCTGAAGGCCTGTGGGCAGCAAGTTGAATGTTAGGTGACAGAGCACTCTCCTGCAATGAAAGCTAGCCATGCATTGGACTGCATAAATAGAAGCATAATTAGCAGTTGAGGGAACTGAATATTCCCTCCTCTGGGCCACAGCTGGATCTTCTCTCCTCTTCTGGGCTGCCAGTGCAAGCAAGAGGTCAGCACCATGGACTGCAGCTGGTGGAGGCCACCAAGATGGTCAAAGGCTGGAGCACGTGGTGTGTGAGAAGCTGCAGAGGTTAGGTTTGTCTGTAAGGAAGGAGGAGGGTGAAGGTGAGGGTCCGGCAGTGGTGCTTCCCTGCTGGAAGAGGAATTGAGGGAAGTGTCGTGGTTTAAGCCCTGTTGGCAACCCAGAGAAACCACGTAGCTGTTCGCTCACTTCCCCATCCCTTTCCTCCCCCCAGCTCCCAGAGGGATGGGGAGGAGAATCGAAAGAATGTAACTCCCACGGGTTGAGATAAGAACAGTCCAGTAACTAAGGTATAACACAAACCACTGCTGCTGCCACCAATAATGATAAGGGAAATAACAAGGGGAGAGAATGCAACTGCTCACCACCCACCGATCGATACCCAGCCTGACCAAGCAATGACCTAGCCCTTCTGGGTAACTGCCCCCAGTTTATATACTGGGTATGGCGTGCTGTGGTATGGAGTATCTCTTTGGTCAGTTTGGGTCAGGTGTCCTGTCTCTGCTTCCTCCCAGCTTCCCCTCCTCCCTGGCAGAGCATGAGACTCAGAAAGACCTTGGTCAGAGTAAACATTCCTGAGCAACAACTAAAAACATCGGTGTTATCAACGCTGTTCCCAGGCTGAAAGTCAAAACACAGCACTGCACCAGCTACTAAGAAGGAGAAGAATGACTGCTACTAATGAACCCAGGACAGGAA